CCCCTACCAGAGAGTGAGTGCGGTTGCAGGACGCCCCGCGGGAACCCGAGCCCAGAGCGGCGTGGGCGGAGCCGGAACCGCGCGCCCTCCCGGGTCCCGCCCCTGCCCCCCGAGGCCCAGGTCGCGCGCGCGGGGGAGGCGGGGCCGGAGCGGAAGACCCGCTCGGAATGGGTGGAGCTGGGGACGCGCGCACTCCGCTTGGCTCCACCCACCGTCTCCGCCCCTCCGAAGCCAGAGCCGCGCGCGGTGGGCGGGGCCTGTGCCGAAACCCCTCGCGGAGTGGGTGGAGCTGGGGACGCGCGCACTCCGCTTGGCTCCACCCACCGTCTCCGCCCCTCCGTGGCCAGAGCTGGGCGCGCGGTGGGCGGGGCCGGAGCCGGAACGTAGTACGTAGTGGGCGGGGCTGCAGGCGCGCGCCTTTTCCAACAGGCTTGGAATTCGTGCAACCGCAATTAATATAGATTACAATGGATATGTAGGTGATTCTTTTTTTGCTATTATAACTTGAACGTAATTGTATAGTCCCCATCATTCGTGACATCTTGCAGCAACAGATACGGATGGTAACCCTCGTGTTGAAACTGTTTCATCCATTCATTTACTGGCCATCACACAGCACTTTCTGATTCTTCTCCCTTTGTGAGGCAGCGCAGCGTCTTTGGAGGCAAGCAGGTCACAGTTCAGTTCTGGAGATCGTGACAATTAGCGGTGCAGACCTAGGAAGGTTATGCAGCCTCCTTGAACTTTAGCTTTCTTTTCCATAATATGGAAATAACGGCATGTATCCCTATGGCTTCCTGAAAGCATGAGAAGCAATCCCATGTGTGCACCACAGGCGTGCTATCAGTGCCCCATGGGCTTCCTTCTATCTCCGGCACAAATGGCCTTGTGGGGCATAATGCAGACCCCTGCAGACCACCTCTGAGCTGAGAACTGTGAGAGCAACAGCTATAGTCTCTTGTAAAAGTTGACACGTGCATTAGCTCATTTGTTCAGCAGCTATTCACCCAGCAGCCCTGTTGAGCTCGATGCTGAGCTAGGCACAAAGGAGGATAAGAAAGGTCAGGGCCCTGGTCTTTGAGAAGGCAAACATAAAAGGGACCCTTGAGATCTTCCATTCCCAGGACACAAGACCTCCCCCCCCCCATCATTTAGGCTGTTGCGGAAAATGTCACCCGTGGCATCTGCCGCCACCCGCTTCAGAGTGACCCCTTTCTCCTCCTGGTCCACCTCCTGGCTCTGTCCCTGTTGAACTTGACTGATTTTAGATCATTATCTGCTTTTTTCTGTTGCTTTGGGGAAGAATCGTGTCTTTAAGAACGTGGGCCATGGAGACGGACAGACCTGGGTTTGATTCTGACTAGGCTACTTACTAATTGTGGCACCTTGGCAAGTCACTTCGCCTCTCTACACTTCACAGGCAGTCTTCATCTTTGCAATGGGAACAGTAAGAGTAAACACCTTAGTTTGGTATGAGGCTTAAATTAGATAACAGCTTTAGAATGCTTAGCCCAGTCCCTGGCACAAGGTAGGAGCTCAGAAAATGTGAATTATTATGAGGAATTCTGATTCCTCCAGTCCCAGGTTCCTACCTGGTTGGGTTTTCTTTTTTTGTTTCCACAAATGAGGTGGAAAATTGGTCCAACACTTTGGGAGCAATGGCATTTTATGGCTTGAGGCCAAAAGTTGGTGTTTTGGGATCGGATTGCATTAAGGGTGTGTTCCCACTTTACTGTGCACTAACCATGTGACTGGGCAAGTCACTCAATACCTCTGAACCTCACTTTTCTTATCTGTAAAATGAGAATGTTAACGGTATCCACCTTATGGGGTTACTATGAAGATTAAGAGAATTCATGCTCATAGGGTACTGACATAGGGCTTGGCACATGCAGTGCCCTCTAAAAAGTTAATTGCTGTGAGCACAGCGATCATTATTGTTTCTCTTCATTCATTTATTCTGACAAGAGGGTGGATAGTGTGGGCATTTAATGCGTCCACTGAGAAAAGTGGTAGCCTGTTGGTGAATGGAGGTGCCAACATGGCATTTTGAAAATCTCTACTGCCTTCGAATTATAAATGGATCACTTATCAGAACTTAGGAAAGATCTGGATTAGCCGAGATTGATATCTGAAGATTTTTCGTATGATGTCTGAAATGGTTGCTAATGAGAATCTCTGAAGTAGTTACTAATAACGATTTAAAGACTGCTGATGCATGTCTGAGAAGCATGGGGATTAGCAGGAAATAAAATCAATAACCGTAAAGCAAACCAGTACCTGCCTTTCTAGTGACAATTGTGGAGTTTTTAAAAAGCTCAATTGGTTTTTTAAAATTATAGTAAGTAATATTTGCTCATTGTAAAAAATGAAATTCAAACAACACTACCAGTAAGGTCATTTATTCATTCAATAAACACATTTTGAGCACCTACTCAGTGCCAGGCACATAGGCGTGAACCAGGAACACAGAAGGTCTCAGAGCTTGTCTACTGGGGAAGAGATGTTGGGGAAATATAATTAAAAGCAAAATCTCCTGGTAACCCAGAAAAACTCACAAAAAGAGAAGAGAAAGAAAACAGTTTTATTATTGAATAAACATTAAGCCAGAATGAGATGCATATCACAGGCAATCCATTAAAGAAATTGCAAAGACAAAAGGAAATCCTGTTCTCAAGATAAACAATCACTAGTTCTCAAGTGGACTTGACTGGCACCATTTGTCATACATAGTTCATCCTAAATCCACTGGTAATTGGGGCAGCCATTGGTGTTTGCTAATTGTCTTTACCCAAAGAAATACAAAACTTCTCATATCTCTATGACAAGCATGTGATTATAACACAGCTAGTTAGAAGCCCTCACCTAGACTAGGAGATGAGGGTACTATCTTCATGTTTACATTTCACAGAGATGGCTCTCGGACTTAAAAAACAGTCTTGGGCTGTAAAAGTTGACAAGAGGCTTATTTTGCCTTTTAAAAGGTTTACAAGTTTTCTAAAGGAAATGCTCTAAGAAAAAATGGGGAGACGTCTTTTCCCTTTCTGCGCCAGGGAAAATTAATTTTTTTTCTTTTTCAATTTGTCTTCACCTTACAGAGACAGTCATTAAACAATTAAGTACTGTATACCCTATGATGTCAGGCAGCAGTAAGTGCCACGTGGAAGCGAAGTAAGGGATTGAAGAGTAACTGGTGGTGTGATTTTAGAGAGGGCCCTCCCGTGGGTGCCCAGAAAGAGTTCCATGTGCCCTGAAGCCTGGAGCAAGAGACCCAGGGAAAGCCGTGTCTGCTGTAGCCAGCGTCAGTGTTTTTTTTTTTTTTTTTTGCATGTCCTTCCAGGCATGTTTCTGTGTACAAACAATCACATCTCATTGTTGCTTTATTTAAAATTTTTAACCCCTAAATGGGATTATAACACGTGTTTTCCATTTGCTTTTATCACCCACTATTGCATCAAGAACACTAGCCTAATCTTTCTTTAAATGGCTGCATTGTACTCTCGCGGTGGCGGTGCCGAAGTGGCTTACCCTCCCCCCTATTTGTGGACATTTAGGGTCTTCTCAGTGGAGGCTGAGAGCATGACCCCTGGGATGAAGCCTACGTTCAGGTTTGAGCCCTGCCACTTGCTTCCCGTATGACACCAGACAGGTTACTGAACCTGTGCCTCAGTTTCCACATATGCAAAAAGGGGATAGTAATACCAGGTACATGATGGGCTTATTCTGAGGATTATCGTGTTAACACATGTGAAGTGCTTAGAATAGCACCTGGCACAGTGCAGGCCTATATTGGTGTTAGCTAATGTTATTATAAATTATATTCATAATTACTGATTTTTCTCCCATAAGGGCTGTGTCTTTCTTCTCATTCCTTCCCTTCCTCTCTTCTTTTCTTCCTTCCTCCCTCAAATATTTATTGAGCATCGAAGATCTGCCAATACTGTGCCAGGCACTGGGTTATATAGGTGGACAGCTCAGACACGATTCCTGCTTTTATGGAGCTTAGAGCTCTTAGGGGTGGGCTGATGGACAATGGACAAATAGCCAAGCGACGACAGCATCATGAATTGTGGCCACTGTTGGGCGATCAGAAAGGCCTCCTCTAGGAGGCATTGGACATCCGAACCGTGCTTAGGGGCAGACATGGAGCTTCAAGTGGGCAGAGCTGCAAGCGGAGAGGGCCAAGGGTGCTTTTCCAAAGGAAGGAGAGAGCATGGCGTGATGGGGCAGGGGAGTCAGAGGAGGCCAGAGTGGCCAGGGCCCAAGGAGTGAGGGGCTTGAGCTGGGCTGGGAAAAGGTGCCAGGAGCCAATCCTTTAACTTTACTTTAGCTGCAGTGGGCGCATGTCGAAGGGTTTTAATTGAGGGGCAACAAAGCATGGCCACGCTGACCAGGTCTTCTGCTTGCTGAGTGGAGAATGGGATGGAGGCGCCAGGACGAGAAGCCCGAGCCCCACTGGGAGGATTTGCGGAACTCTGGCCAGCGAGGACGTGGCTTCAGCTCTGCTGGTGACACTGGGTCACGTGGGAGGACCTGAGAGACAGGAGAAGAGCGACGGTCCGGTCCGGAGGTGGAGCGACGAGGACTTGGAGGTCGTGGAGACACCGTGACCCTGGCGACGGCGAGCTGGCCCGGCGGTCACAGGGTCCTCCCTGCTCCCGTGTCCTTGGAATGTACGTTCCGCTCACCGGTCCCACAGCCGGAACCATTTTCAAGGACGCAGCCTTGAGAGACCACGGCGGGTCCTCGAATAACGTCGTTTCTTCCACGTCCCTTCGTTATGACATTGATAAGATGCTGCAGCAACGGAACGCCGGAGGTAAAAGTGGCTTCCTCGCATGGCCTTGTGCTTAGCGTCGCAGAACCCGCCCACGTGGTGAAGCGAGGACTCACGGTCACGTGCGGCGGGGCACGTGGCCTGATCACGTGACCGAGCCCCTTCCGGCCCCCGCGTAAACCCGTCAGCTTCTTCT